TTTTTACAAATACAACAACCCACAATGCCCCAGAGAAAACACAATTTATCTCACATGAAGAAACAAAAATGGCTTAAACAAATGACCAGGATGCAGACACAGAAAACACTGCTAAGGAATTCAAATGAATGATATTTGGGTACTTAGCCAGGTTTTCTAGAAAACCAAAACCAGTAAAACGTATATACGAGACGATTCAAAAATTATCCGCACACTAGCTGTAGAATTTATTTTAGAAAAGACATCATTCTTCAAAATAATCTTGCTTTTCAATACACGTTGGCCATCTGTCAACAAGGTTTCAGATTCCCTTATTAAAAAATGTTTTCAGCTGATCTGCAAGCCATGAATACAGCTCTGTCTTCACTTCTTCAACAGAGATGAATCTTGGTCCTTGAAGAACTGTTTTCAGGGAACCAAACAGGTGAAAGTCCAATGGAGCAAGATCAGGACTGTAGGGAGGCTGCTTTAACACCTCCAAAGTTTGTGCTGTGTCATCAGTATAAGCAGAGGGAGGCGGATGTGCATTGTCATACCAGATCACAAAGACCTTGGAGAGCAGTCCTCTGTGTTTTATCTGAAGTTTAGGCTTCAGCTCTTCAGTGAGCATCTCACTGTGATGAGCACTGTTGATTGGTGAACCTTTTTACTAACATTTTCAGTGGCTAAGCATTCATAAGTAGTTTGCTTTTCCTTCCTAGTCTTCATGTGAAAGCTCAGTTGAAACCTGTCCACCATGGATGTGCCCTGCCTTGACCAATTTTATGCACGTTTAAGAACTATCTATATGGATCAAAGTAACAATAGCAACTTCAAAGATTAGATAGGAACTTTAGGGGGCAGTGAGTCTGTGTTAATGGAGGATGTACAACTCAGAAAAGAAGAGAATGGTTGTATAATTTGACATTGTAATCCTTGTCACTGAATTGCATATGTAGAAATAGGTGAATCAATGTATGTTTTGTGTATATTCGCAATAACAAATATATGTATATATATATTTTAAAGGTAAGACTGTTAATGAGGCAGAAGAACTAGAGTAATGGAAATGGGACAATCAGAAGGGGAATAGTCCACACATTGTAAAGAGTGTAACCAGTATCACTGAAAAATTTGTGTAGAAATTGAATGGGAACCCAAACTGCTGTATAAATATGGAAAACATCAAGATTATCTTTTGTTATTAAAAACATAATATCTTCTGCTATTTAACAATGTCAAACTCTTCCAATCCTACATAAAATTCTTGCAATTGGCAGTTGTAGTAAGCTTCACTATTTGTATACATTTCTTTTTCCCAAGCAATGGCATGGCACCACACAACAAATCTTGTATACGATGTTGGAAAAACCCCACTGCATTTGTATTAGAGATTAAATGCAGAGACCCGCCTGAAAGCAGAGCCTGAACTCCATTGTAAAGTTTTGGCTAACAGCAGTTTCTCTAACCTTGTTGCTGCCCTAACCCTGATGCTGACTCAACCAAGTAGTCTAAAGAAGACGTGAGGTCTGGCAGGTGTAGATCAGTCTAATCCCAGAGGATCTTTTCTTTATGGGCAAACTGATGCAAAAGGTGATATTTTAAAGGTCTTCATGCCCAGGATTATCAATAGCTCTTCACCTTGGACCCCCTAGAAAACACACTCGAGAAAGCAATTTTTATAGTAAACTATCTGATAAGCATGTCCTGCCATTGTCCTGTGACCATCATACAATAAATGAAGAGCAGGAATATATATTTGCAATTCTATGCCCTTACTAATCATATTTTCCACCTTGTTGTTGTTGTTAGGTGCCACCGAGTCGGTACCGACTCAAACTGACCTTATGCACAGCAGAACGAAACACTGCCCAATTCTGGGTTAACCTCACTATTGTTGCCACGCTTGAGTCCATCGATACTGCTACTTGACCAACCTTCTTGTTGTTATGTGTCTTGGAGTTGGTTCCGACTCATAGTGACCCTGTATAGGGTTTCAGAGGCTGTAAATCTTTACAGGAGCAGAAAGCCTCATCTTTCTCCCGCGGGAACAGCTGGTAGTTTCGAACTGCTGACCTTCCGGTTCGTAGCCCAATTCGTAATCACTACGCTACTTGGCCAGCCTAGCCCTGCTAAATTCCCACTTTGAGATATCCTGCCTTTGACACCCATTGTCTTTTAGCCAATTGTGACTTCGTAACTTTTAGATCCTGCTCTAACTGTCCAAGTTATTTTTCTCATTGTCTGATGGAGTGGTCATTTTGGGGGAAGAGTAGGAGTAAGGGGTTAGGGTTAGGACTATGGCTAGATCTAGGTGAGGCCTAGGGCTTCATTTAGTGTTAGGGCTTCATTTAGTGTTAGGGTGGGCTGCAATATGCAGATGATACAACCTTGCTTGCTAAAAGTGAAGAGGACTTAAAACATTTACTGGTGAAGTTCAAAGAGTACACCCTTCGGTATGGATTACATCTCAATGTAAAGAAAACAAAAATCCTCACCACTGGATCAATAAACAATATTGTTATCAACGGAGAAAAGACTGAAGTTGTCAAGGACTTCATTCTTCTTGGATCAACTAACACCACTCACGGAAGCAGCAGTCAAGACATCAAACAACATATTGCATTAGGCAAATCTGCTGTACAAGACCTTTTTAAAGTGTTGAAGAGCGAAGATGTCAGCTTGAAGACTAAGGTGCACCTGACCCAAGCCATGGTATTTTCAATAACCTCATATGCATGCAATAGCTGTACAGTGTGCTCCTTGGAGGCCAAGATGGCCAAACTTCGTCTCTCACACTTCGGACATATTGTCAGGAGGGACCAGTCACTGGAGAAGTATATAATGTTTGGTAAGATGGAGGGTCAGAGAAAGAGGAAGACCCCCAACAAGATGGATTGGCCAAGTGGCAGCATCGATGGACTCAAGTGTGGCTACAGTAGTGAGGTTGGCCCAGGATTGGGCATTGTTTTGTTCTGCTGTGCATAAGGTTGCTATGAGTCGGTACCGACTCGATGGCACCTAACAACAACATCAGGTAGTTCTGATACCATTTCTGGTTTCTTTATATTTCCTGACTCTATTTTAATCACTTTTTTGAAGCATTCTGTTGTTTCTATGTGTAAGCTGAAAGTGTCATTTTCAAGACACTATAGTACTGTATCCATATTTCATTGATGGCTACATGTTGCTGGGTTCTCAGGCACTCACCCCGTCTCCTGGTAGATGTGCTAGAGACTGAAAGTGTGTGGTACTTCTGTTTGTATAGCATAGTTCCAAGTGGGTTTGTCTGGTACTGGCTGCTGATTATTGTTGATCAGGTGGTCCAAGAGTAGGTAATGGAGCTTGCCCAGTGGCAGGAACTGAAGGAGGCACAGATGTGGCTGAGCCAAATGGGCACAACTGCTGCAACGCATATCAACAGTCTGCGCTGCACCAGACCAGCTGACAGACTGCACTTCCACCTCCTCTCTCACTCCTGCTCAACTTCCTCTTCCAGTAATCACTCAGCCCACCGCTCTATCCTAGCCTTTGAAGCTCAGGGTTCTCACACCACTGTTCTTATCTGTTTCACTTGGTCTCCCAAGTGCTTGTTGCTAAGGTTCTGCTCAGCACCTTGCCCACTAAGTCCTGGAGCGGTCATTTCACTCTGAATGTGGACATCATAGTGGTCCAGATCATCTCTGTTGTTGTTGTGTGCCGTGGAGTCGGTTCCGACTCATAGCAACCCTGTACAGGGTTTCCTAGGCTGTAAATCTTTATGGGAGAAGAAAACCTCATCTTTCTCCTGTGGAACAGCTGGTGGTTTCGAACTGCTGACTGTGAGGTTCGCAGCCCAATTTGTAACCACTACACTACCAGAGCTCCTTAGATCTCTATCCCTCATTAAATCTCTGATGCTTTTACTTTAAGCAGTCTCCATGATGCTGACAATTTATATTATGGTACTGAAAAGGGTATTGACTATGGAGAGTGAAACCAAGGGTTTTACTGGCATTTTAGGAGTCCTGGTGTGGCACTGCAGGATAAGCACTGGGCTGCTAACTGCAAGGTTTACAGTTCAAACCCACCAGCAGCTCCTCAGAAGCCTTACTCAGGGATCTATGAGTCTGAACCAATTTAACAGCACTTACCAACAACTGGGGTTTTAATATCTAAGGTTCCAACTTTGACTCCAAAGATCCATACTATGTAGCAATTTATTAACTGGCTAGGAGGTAAACCTAACCATTAGCTTTTTGCAGAATTCTAAAATATGTCTTTTGGAAATATCACCCTGATTAGAAATCTAATTTATCATATCTTTCTACATTTATATAGACTCAGTAAAAGGTTAAAATGCTATTTAAAGTCTATTTTATCAGAAAACTTAAATGTCAAAGTGATTTCTCAAATTTAGGGAGGACTGTGAGTCTAAGGGGCTTTATAATTTTATATGCACAATTACAAAATAACTTCAAACTTCTGTTTCAACTTAGTACCATTTAGTAGATATTAGATACAATGCTTTCTACTATCTAGAGAAATATTAATTTCACATAAGCATTGTCAATGTCACTTTATATTATAATTAACTTATGATTCACTATTATAACCAAAGTTTATTCAGAGAAAGAAACCAGAATTCTAATGGCAGAAGACAATGCAAATATTGTATCTTGCATGATTTTCATAACTAAAATCTTTCAAACCACACTCACGTGGCTGATGACGTAAGCTTGGGTAGTTTTCAAGCTACACTGGCCAAGCCCAAGTTCATTCTCATCTATTGAGCACTCCCTCTTGTAGTTAACATTCTATCCATGTGAAAAGACAAGTAGCTTGACTTTCAATTAATTTTAAAAATATAAGTTTAATATTTGCAATATTATTCACAGCATCCTCGTCACAGCTGTTTTTTCCCTACTACTCAGAAATTCAAGATTTTTGTTGTCTCTCTTTAAGTCCCAAAAACTCCGTTTTGAGTTCTCCAGGTTTGGGTGGAATTTCAGGTATTGTCTACAAAAAAACAAAACAGAACAGAACAGAAAGCATATATGTGAGTGCATCTTTTAGGAGGTATTTCTAAAAATAAGGATATTTTACAGAAGTATCATATCATTATTACACTTCAAAATTAACTATCTTAATAATCACATTTCCCAAGATGTCTCAAGAACGTTTAAATCACGTTTCAAACAGTATCAGCACATTGCATTTAGTTATCGTGTCTCTGAAATTGATGACTAACTTTGAAAGCCTGTATATTTGAATCAGAATTTGTTCATGTAGCACGCTTTCTTAGACAGTAATATGACCTGAAAGACTTGAAAGAAAGTAGAAAGGAAGACAAGAACCAGAAGTTCTTTGCTAGTCCATCATAAATCTTTATTATAAGAACCTCTAGCTGATCTACAGGTCTTTCCAATCCTCTGTTTATGACTTTACCATCCCAGCCAATGCCTTAAGTACTACAGGATTCACAGAGGGATACTTTAGAGCAATATTAATTTGAAGATTCACAAATTTTTCCAAATTTGGAAATTCATTCACGCACAAATTGACTGTCCACCATGTACCTAGTAAAAGAGACAGGTATTCATGAAGTGCCTATCATGCGCAAAACAGACAAAAATCTTTGTCTTTAGGAAAACGGAGATTAATTCTCTGAAAAGGTATCTTTTTCTATAACCATTTTATTAAGATATAATTCACAAGTCGTACAATTCACCGTTTAAAATGTACAATTCAATGAATTTAATATATTCAGAGTTATCTATCCATTACAATTTTAGAACATTTTTATCACCCCAAAAAGAAATCATGTACCCATTAACAGGTACCAGCCTTGGTCAACCATTAATCTGCTTTCTATCTGTATAGATTTGTCTATTCTGGGTATTTTATAGGTATAAACGAAATCATATATTATGTGGTCCTTTGGGATTGGTTGTTTTCACTGAGCCCAATGTTTACAAGGTTGGTGATTCAAATTCACCAGCCACTCCGCTGTGAGTGGAAATCAACTTGGCAGCACTTAACGTTTTCAGGGTTCAGTATAATGTAGCATGTTCAACATTGTATTTTATTACTAAATCATATTGTACTATAGGTATATACAACATTTCATTGATCAGTTTATGAACATTTGGGTTGTTCTACGTTTAGACTATTATGAGTAATACTGCTCTGAATATACACATACAATTTTCATGTGGACATATGCTTTGATTTCTCTTGAGTATATCCCTCAGAATGGAATTGCTCGATCACATGGTAACACACGTTTAAGCACTTGAAGCATGGCAAGACGATTTTCCAAAGCAGCTGCGTAATTTTTCATTCCCATCAGTAGTGTGGGAGAGTTCTAATTTCTCCCTATCTTCACCAACACTTAGCTTTGTAATTACAGTTCTCCTAGTGGGTGTGAAGTAGTACTTTATTGTGTTTCTGATGTGCATTTCCCTGATGGCTAGTGACACAGAACATCTTTTCCTGTACTTTGTGGCTGAGAAGGTGACTTTTGAACAAATATCATACAGTTAGGAGTGTTTCAAGTGCAGAGGACCTGAGGCAGGCGTGTGCTTTCATGTTTAAGGAAAAGCAACATGGTCAGTATGGGTGGTACATATTCAAGGAAAGGTCAGTAGGAAGGGCAGAGTAAAGAACGGATAAAGCCTAAAGTGGCTTTACTCTAAGATGCGCTATTATTGGGGAGTTTTGAGCCAAAGGAATTACCTGACCCAAGTGTAAACTGATAATTTTGGGTAGCTTAAGAAGAGACTATAATGGAGCACAGGTGGACGCCAGAAAACTGGTTTGTTATTGCTGTTAAGTGTCATGGAGTTGGTTCCAACTCATAGTGACCCTGTATAGGGTTTCCGAGACTTTAAATCTTCATGGCAGCAGAAAGCCTCATCTTTCTCCTGCAGAGTGGTTGGCAGGCTCAAACTGTGGACCTTGTTGCTTGCAGTCCAGTGCTTATCATATGGAGCCAACTGGTTTGGAATTTATTATAACAATTGAGGCGGGAGCTGAGAGTGGCTGAACTGGGTGGGAGCAGTGGAGGTGGTTAACAAGTGGTCAGATTCTGAAAGCATTTTTCAAACTGAGTCAATGGTTTCTGCTGAAATGTGCAGCAGGAGAGAGGAGTAAAGGATGAGTCCTAGGCATTGGCCTGAGCAACTGGAAGGACGCAGTTTCTACTACTGTGATGGGGAAGACCAGAGGGAGAAGAGCAAGACTGAGGCAGGAGGTGGAGAGAGGTGGGGTGTGTGATCAGGAATTCAGTGGATTTTGAAGTGGAACTGTCAAATATGCAGTTGATAACCAAGTATGAAGAGTCCCTGGGTAATGCAAATGATTAATATACTCAGTTACTAACCAGAAGGTTAGTAGTTATGAGTCCAGCCAGCCAGCTGTGCCTCCGAAGACAGACCTCGTGCCCTACTTCCAAATTCATCAGCCTTTGAAAATCTCATGGAGCAGAGTTCTAGTCTGTACCTGTGGGGTCACCATGAGTCAGGATCTATGTGACAGAAACTGGTTTAACCAAGTACGGAGTTCAAGGGAGAGGTCCAGGCTGAAGGTCTAATTTTGGTGTAATGATAATTATTACTGCCATACAACTATATGAGAAGTGTGTGGGTAGTCAAAAAGGGGATCAAGGACTAAGCCCTGGGGCCCCCAATTGTTTAGAGGTGAAGGACCAGTAAAGGAGATTGCAAAGCAGCAACCAATGAGGTAGGAGAACCAAGAGAGAATGGTGCCCAGGAAGCCAAGAAAAGAAAGTATTTCACAGGGAATTCCACCTTACCACATGTTGCTAGTGGGTCAAGAAAGACTGGGTCTGATGTGAAATGGCAGTGGTAGCATTAGAGCTTGGTTACGAATCGGGCTGCGAACCTTAAGGTCAGCGGTTTGCAACTACCAGGTGCTCCGCGGGAGAAAGATGAGGCTTTCTACTCCCGTAAAGATTTACATCCTCGGAAACCCTATACAGGGTCGCTATGGGTCGGAACCGACTCGATGGCACATAACAACAACAACAACAACTTCTGGGGAAGGCGGACAATAAGATCAGCCCAAGACTGATTTCTATGAGGTGAAGGTCAGACATAGCTCCACTCTTCAACCTTTTTACCAATTCTGACACCAGTTGGCCCTCCCAAGGCACTCTCTACTTCTTTGCTGGTTTCGAGAATTTGTTGCAATGGCCACAGTGAACTCACAAACCAAACTTACATAGACCTCTTGGTCCATGTATAGGTTACACATGAGTACAACAACTAAGTGTTCTGAATTCCCATTCTTTGCAAAGTTATCTGTAGTTTGTTATGATCCACACAGTAGAATGCCTTTTCATAGCCAATAAAACGGAAATTCGCATCTTTCTGGTATTCTCTGCTTTCAGTCAGCAATGCTGTCCCTTGTTCCATGTCCTCCTTGAATCTGGTTTGAATTTCTAGCAGCTCCTGCTGATGTGCTGTGGCAACCAATTCTGAATTATTTTCAATGAAATTTTACTTAAGTGTAATATTAATAATAGTATTCAATGATTTCTGCATTCTGTTAGCCCACCTTTCTTTGGAATAGGCACAAATATAGACCTCTTTCTGTCAGTTAGCCAGGCAGCTGGTCTCCAAATTTCCTGGCATAGACAAATGAGTGCTTCCTGCACTAATTTTGTAAATTCCTGGAGCCTTGGTTTTCACCAACGTCTTCAATGCAGCTAGGACTTCTTCCTTCTGTACAACCGGTTCTTGATCATGTGCTATTTCTAGAAAAGGGTGAGCATTACCCAATTTTTTGTGTCTTTCTTCCATCTTCCAAAACCAATCTAGGATTTTGAAATTTCAATCCTTTTACTACAAACACTGTATGTGTACTTCATGTTTGTAAACTTTGTACAACTTAAATCCATTTAGAAGGACTATTCATTTTCTAATAAACAACTATAAAAGTGCCAAAAAAAAGAAACTATATAAAATAACAACTCCTATAAAGGAGCTTGGAGTCCTGGTGTGGCGCTGTGGGTTAATGCGCCAGACTGCAAAGCCATTTGAACTGCAAGGTTGGCAGTTCAAGCTCACCAGCTGCTCCTAGGAAACCCTATACAGGGTCACTATAGGTCGGAACCAACTCAACGGCACCTAACAACAACAACATAAAGGTGCTCTGGTTATGAATCGGGTTACAAACCTCAAAGTCAGCAGTTCGAAACCACCAGCTGTTCCGTAGGAGAAAGATGAGGCTTTCTGCTCCCGTAAAGATTTACAGCCTCAGAAACCCTGTACAGGGTCGCTATAAGTCAAAACTGACTCCACGGCACATAACCACCACCACCATGCAAATACAATAATGGCAGATTATAATTTTCTATAAAGTATTTACCACTCTCTTATATGAGGAGGCTTCAAAACTTTCTTAGAAAAACTCTATTGTTTTAATTCAACTTTTCCATCAATTTTATGAAGTATCCTTGTATATATCTACATACAAGCCCATGTTTGTTGTGACTAGAATTTCCAATATCAAAGTAAAATGACAATTAGACTTTTATTAGAATAGAAATAGCACTTATATTCATGTATGCATGTATATATGTTGTTGTTAAGTACCATCCAGTCAGTTCTACTCAGCGACCCAGTACAGGGCTTTTGAGAAGCAGCTGGTGGGTTTGAACCGCCAACCTTGTGTTTTGCAGTCCAGTGTTTATCCTATACTGCCACACCAGGAGTCCTTTATTTATGTACTACATATAAAAACCTAAAAACCACACCAGTTCCTGTAGAGTCAATTCAAACTTATGGAGAACTTACACATGTAGGAGTTCTAGTAGGCACTGTAAGATAAGCACTGGACTGCTAACCACTAGGTCGGTGGTTCAAACCCACCAGCTGCTCCTTGGAAACCCAACACAGGGTCATTACGTGTTGAAACGATCTCACCGGCATTTAACAACAACAACGTGTCCCAGAGTAAACTGCTCCACAGGGTTTCAGTGTCTGTGACCTCTC